TCACTTCTAGAAGGTGTTGTAAATCTTCATAAAACTGGTCAATTTCAGTCTCCTCAGCATTGGTGGTTGGAGCATAAACTTGGATTACTGTGATGTTGAAAGGTCTGCCTTGGATTCGTATTGACATCATTCTATCATTTTTGAGATTATATCCCATTACAGCTTTTCCCACTCTTTTGTTGACTATGAGGGCTATTCCATTCGTTCAATGGGCTTCTTGCCCACAATAGTAGATATGATAATCATCTGAGCTGAATTTGCCCATTCCTGTCCATTTTAGTTCACTGATGCCCAGGATATCAATGTTTATTCTTGCCATCTCCTGTTTGACCTCATCCACCTTCCCAAGGTTCATAAGTCTTACATTCCAGGTTCCTATGCAGTATTTTTCTTTGCAGCATTGGACTTTCCTTTCACTTCCAGGCACGTCCACTGCTGAGCATCCTTTTGACTTTGGCCCAGCCACTTCATTAGCTCTGGAGCTACTTGTACTTGTCCTCCACTCTTCCTCAGTAACATGTTGGACGCCTTCTGACCTGAGGGGCCCATCTTCTAGCATCATATCTTTTAGCCTTCTGTTTCTGATCATGGGGCATTCTTGGCAAAGATACTGGAGTGGCTTGCCAATTCCTACTACAGGTGGGTTGCGTTTAGTCGGAACTCTCCACTATGACCTGTTCGTCTTGGGTGTCCCTGCACAGCATAGCCCATAGCTTCCCTGAGTTACTCAAGCCCCTTCGCCACGACAAGGCAGCAATCCGTGAATGAAGGAGTTCACTCATTCTTAAATTATTCCTCAACAAAAATTATTACTATGTAGAGCTAAGCTTCTTTAGCTACTCAACCAATGAAAAAAAGAAACCCAAAAGTAATCATCATGGTCCCTGGAATTTCTTGGTGGGATGTACAGATTGATTTGAGTACAACTGTAATTAATGTATTGTCTGCAGTAATTTTAAGTACAAGGACTGGACACCTGTTTATAACATTTGGATATTCATACCATATTTCTGATTTTAAAGAGATAAAAATTTGCCAACCCGACTAATGCATGAAAATTGCAGGAATACTTATTATACCACAGGTATGCACACAGTCCACAAACATGCTGCCAATCAATTTCCAAACATACATACACATTCATAAAAACAGACAGAAGCAAAATCCAGTGATGATTAATAAATGAGTCCAATAACGATTGCTTTAGCCACAACACAACTGATCATTTTTATCTTCCCCCTTTTTAATGGGCATATCATGTATTTCTGTCTGTTTTGGGTAAAAGCTAGTGAAGTACTTCTTTCAGCCTTACAAAGAAGAAACAATTTTGATCCGTTTCATGAAATTCTGCACAGTGGTTCAAAAGTAATTATGGTTTTATTATGCACCATTAAACACAATGAGAAATAGTACTGGCAAAGTTTTACTGTGCAGAGTTGGCCCTTATTCCGAAGCTAGAATCTTGGCAGTTCTCTACAGTCTCCCATTCCGATATCATAGAAAAGCTATAAATGGCAGCAATTTTCCACCCCCTTTCTTTCCCTTCCAACAAATGGTCAGACAGGCACTCCATGTTCCCCATCAGAATTTGGGGCTGAAAATCAAGGCAGCATGTGGGGGCAAGGGTGGTAAGTTCTAAGTAAATGCCATATGTGACATTGCACATTCTTCATCATTGGACACATCTGTTAAGGCATTAGGCTTAACTTCCAATTTGCTAGCTTTTGGGAGCTTAAGCTGATATGAGATAGCCTTGACTGCAGTCTTAAATAGCAGATTTTTTTTTTAAATCTTTCAATATAAAGCTTATGAGTGAAGTAGGCCTCATGGAATAGAAAACTCAGAGACTGGAAGATACAGCAGACCAGCTGAATCTCAGCAATAACAAAACTTAGTTTGCCAGCCAGGAGGTCCTGGGAGTTGTATTTTAAAAAGTAGCTTTTTGAAGCTCAAATGAGTCTATGGTAGATGGGTTTTTATGTTTTAAAAAATATTTAACCCAACTTTTATAATGACTTTATGAGCAATCCTGTGACCTTAAAGACTTACCAGCTTTATTTGGCACAGGCTTTCATAGACTATAGCTCACTTTTTGAGATATGTGGAATATATCCTCACTAACCAAACAAAGGCTGAGACGCTGAAGAACAGCAATGAAGGAACTAGAAAAGATCACCAAGTGTAACGACATGGCACTAGAGATAAATGCCAGGATCACCCACACTACTTTACATCCAATTGCTACGTATGGACAGGAAACGTGGACAATGAAAAAAGCTGACAGAAAAAAAATTCTTGAAACATGGTGCTGGAGGAGGGCTTTACAGATATCATGAACAACCAGAAAGACCAGTAAGTGGGTCCTAGTTCAAATCAGGGTCACATCCAGTGTAGTATAATGGTGTAGAATGACAGACCTGGGTTCAAATGCCCACTTAGCTATGGAAACTCACAGAGCAAAACTAGCAAAAACTGGCAAAACCACCCATCTCAGTTTAGAAAGCTTTAGTAAGAATGCTATAAATCAGTTGCAGCTTGAGGGCTCATAATTAGATATGGGAGCTTCATATTCATCTCCTGAGGGAGACAAATACAAAGCCTGCCAGGACAGGTGTCCTGGTGGTCCTTCCCTGCCCCCCAGAACCAGCCTGGTCCACTTACCGGGCTCCTTGGGACATGTGTGCCCAGCAGTGCTGACATAACGCCAATTACAGAGGTAGACCTGCTTAAGCTGCCCCAGCTCTCCCCACAGCCAACTGCTCAGCAGCTGAGAGGGGAGACTTGTCTTCACATCTCCTCTCTGGAGTGGTCAGCTGTGAGGAGAGGCAGGGCAGCGATTGGCATGATGTCACCACCACCGGGTGTGTGCACAAGAAGGAGCCCAGTAAGCGGACCAAACTGGTTCTGGGAGTCAATGGGGAAGGACTGCTGGGACTCTTGTGTTGGCAGCCTTCATATTTGTCTTCCACCAGAGATGAAGACAAAGCTCCCATATTTACCCATTATGCACACATAGATCACATCACGCCCAAACTCCCTCTCAAAAGAAAAACAAAACAAAACTGAAGCTATTATACTTTGGTCATATCATGAGAAGACAAGACATGCTGGGGGGGGGGAAAGTAAAAGGCAGCACAAAAAGAGGAAGAGATGCATTAATCCCATTAAGGAATCACAGCCACAGCCTTGAGTTTATAATTGCTAAGCAGGCTCTTAATAAGAGGACATTTTGGAGATCACTAATTCATGGGGTCACCATGAATCAGAAAGGACATGATTGAAGATAGCAACAACAAACAGAAATCTGTGATTGGGAAGGAGAGGCATGTGAAATGTAATAAAAATGTCAACAATTCAGTATGGCGATTATCTTAACAGTGTTTGCTAGGGGAGCAAATACTGTTAAGTGTTTGGCTGGGGAAGTAGCAGGAATGTTGGCAAGTCTTTGTGTCCGAGTCACAAATCTGAGACCAAGTCCTTGGTACTAAGCCATGAGTCCCAAGCCTCAAGTCCACATCCTTATTAAAAACAAGTTCCCTCCCTCCGCCCCCAAGAAAAATAGAGTAGTGGGTGGTTTCCAACTCACGAGTTGAGTCTGAATCATGAAATAAAAAACGGAGCTGAGTCTGAGTTGAATCACCATTGCAGCTTAAGTCTGACTTGACAGCTGTGATAAGCTTGGTTATGAAAGTTCATGGAATAATTTACTGATGGGATTTGTGATCACAAAGTTAGCCAGAATGAATTCATCTTATTTCTGTGTGTGAGTTGAGAGTGGAAATTTCCAAAGTTGAGTCCTAGCTGTACATCTGTACTGTTCAGCATGGTCTTATCACGTAACTAAGCAACCTGGCTAGTACAAAGTGAGGAAGACTAAACAACTTTCCCTGAGCCTCATGGGAACAAGAAAGGAAGAGATTCTACCACGAGGGAGACGGAAGATGGATGCCAACATACAGAACTCGGTATGGACTATCTAATCCAAAGGACAGTAAGCCTGAGTTTTTCCTATTGAGACAGTTTACTTTGGATTTTCCAGAAGCCTGATGGAATGTTGTTTTGATGATGGACACTAGGACTTGTAGTATGTTTTAAGATGTAGTTTTTCCTGAAGCCGGAGGGGAGGTCTGCCCCCCCTTTTTTTCTTTTTTGTTAGCTAGACATTTTCTTATTTTTGTTTGTTTCAGAGGAATTCTATCTCCTATCGATGGGGATGGGATTGGAAATTGTAAATATGCTTTGCTGTGCTTTGCTTAAACTGATTTTTCAAAGAACTATATTTTTCTAATAAAAATGAATATGCCTAAGCTCTGTAAGTTAGCTTCTTGAATAGACACAAGCTGTTATAAATAATTGGCTTATCCAAATTGATGTATTTTACAAGGCCATGTAACTTAACGCTACCAATTTGGGTCCAACTGATTTAGGAGTGCTAGAAGGATGGAATTCCCTGGTACTCACGTGTGTGGGTTGCTTCTCAATAAAAGCGGTCAGACTTGGTACCAGAGTAAATTTTAGCTACCCTAAGGCAAAACTTACGGACCCAGTTTGCCTGGTAAAGGAGCGATTTACTTTGGAACCTCTCTGCCCGTGGCTGAGCAATTTCTTAGGAAATTGACTTTGCTGGCAACAGCGAGTCCTACAATTCTAGTCCCCATCCCTGGGAGGTAGTAGACAACAAGTACAAATCTATTGGCATTCTTAAGAATTCTTAAGAATCCTTCAAAGGCCATTGGTGAATGATAGGTACATCCAAGAAAAGAAAAGCTGATTAACAAATGTTAAGGTAGAGCAAAGCCACCCAGATGACCAGTATAACGGAAGAGCATGGTCTACAGATCTGAAGAAACACAGTTAATCTAGAATTGAAATCAGAGGAGCAGAAGAAACACAAAGATTGCAGGCAAAGAAAATTGTCCAAACAGCTTAAAAAATGTTATGTGCGGTCTGTTTTCTTTGGGCTTTATCCAGGTGCTGGTCATAGCCAATTAGATCCAAACACCATCTGCCATTTCAAATGTAAAATATGTACATATATATTAATTCCAAAGTGAGCAGCCTAAATTATTCTCCACTCCTACCTTTATAGCACTACAAAGATCTCCATATTTTGGAGGGGAGAAGGGGAAAAGACATCTCTTTTACCAGCTATCACACTGCAGGTTTATATTACACTAGAAAGCCTGCTATTTTTCAGTGTGTTCCAGTCTTGTCAGAACACAAGAAATGGGAATAAGACATTTCACTGAGATGTGAAAGGGAACATTTGTCTTATAATGACAGCAGGCATTTCTAAGATTTCTATTACAGGACAAGATATGGGAGTGCTGACATGTGTCAAACGGATGATCATCCACCATTTCCTACCATGTGGTTCCTACCCACCTAAATTACCGTTAATATTACAACATTTACTGATGATCACTTAGTTCAGTTGCTTCATTTGAAATACAACCATGTAAAAATGAGCACGAATTGCTGCTTCAGCAGTTTGTATGGGTTCATCTAGAGGCAGTGCCCGGAAGGGCAGGGCAGGGAAGCCAGGCTGCTGCCTTGAGAAGGAGCCAGGTGGGGCTTTGAAGCATCAAACATCTCTTTGGCCACTAAACAAACTGACACGAACCACCAAACCGATGGTTCATGCCCATCTCCACAACCATGCTATTTTGCATATTTCTTTGACCATGGATCAGCTACTATTGTTTTATGATACACCTTATTCCTCTGTTCTTGCTTGCAATCACCACATCTGTGAATTCCAGTAACATTATCCATTGATTGCATTACCCTATCTCTGTGCTGATGATTACCAGTTTTGTCATATTTAGGACTTACCTATATTATTGAACTTCACCTTTCTAATTTTACATAATCATTATGGACAAAGTTCCTGCTAAATATTTCCCCGAGAACTGTTGCCCATGAATTCAGATTGAATTGCTGTCATTAGCAAACTGAGATGAATTTAGATTTATTTATATATTTTAGGTTAATTTTATATTCATCCACATTCATTTCCATCTAGCATATGTATTTAGTTTTCTCACTAATTAATTATCTGTTATTAGTTCCCCTTTTAGAGTCTTATGTTCTGTAGCATCATTTCAGCTAGTATAAAATTTGATCAGCTATTACTATAGATTACATTGGCTGAAATCCTAGTCAGTAACTATGCTTGCATAACTCAGTGTTATGCAAGTCATACTGCTCATTGTGAAAGGCAGAAATGCTATTCATAAGCACTTCCAGAGGTACATTGCATAATCCATCAAAATGGGAACTACGTGAATGATTACTCAATCAAACTGTGCAATCCTTATTGGCTGGGCAAAATGGCAGGCATATTTATGCAAGTACCTCAACAAAAAGGATTCAGGCCATTATGCTTTCCCTTTTCCCTGGGGTTAAGTTTCCAGTCAACTTTACATTGTACTTCAGGTTTAGCTGATATTATGTAAAAAAAATTAAGAATTGTATTTAAACACCTTTCCCAAATTATTTTAATATACAGGCCGTAAACATTAGTTGTCAGCTATTGGAGGCCTCTACTTTAAGCAAACTATTTTAAATCTAGACCTGATGTCACCTATAGCTTAATTTAATATTTTAGGTTATTTAAATATTTCTTTGAAATTAAATATAGGGACTGGATCAAGGTTTTTTGTCAACAGAGTTCCGCTTGAACAGGGACAGACAGGATATCTTCATTAGTATTATCCTTTTCTATTTATAGAATTACTGCTCAAATATATACAAGCCTCTTATGTTAAGTCCACACTCAGTACGTTTGAGGTCACATTTTTCATAGAGAAAAAGCAATTTTTCACTGAAAGGTGTAACAAACATCTGTTTGTTATGTGAGACAAATCATTGTCAAAAGTGTGTGAGAGAGGGTCAGAGTACGCCCTACTATATACTCTTTTTATAGTAAAAAAAACCCATGGAAGTCCTATTAGGCTGGTTGGTATAATGAAATCAGGATAAATCTTAGCAGCAAATTGCTACACCTTGAGAAGTCAGCATAGGTGTTTGTTGCTTTGAACTGAGTCATGTGGTTCAATATGGAATAGAAAATGCTTGCTCTGAATTTCTACCTAGATTTACCTTCAAAAATGCTGGGATTAGGGGCAACAGACCTCCATGTAGTTCAAAATCTGAGTATAACTCTCAAACCCCCAAAATCATAATTACAAAGCCTAAACAGTTTATTAAAACACACACACACAGAGAGAAACCTCCCCCAATCAGTGTTAGCCTCCCAGCAGGCCCCAGCACTCTCCCTGGCTGCCATATGGAGTTGCTATGCCAGGAGAGTGGGCCAGTGTCACATACAGCGCTGATGGTACCTGTCTGTCATGGGTTTGGAGGGAAAGTTCCATCCTATGGGGAGTGGAAGGCGGGACATCAGGGGGGAGGAGCTGTACTGTATATATATTTGGAGCTGATGTGGAGAGTGAGGAGTTGGAGTCTGTGTGTCAGACTAGGTACAACTGTGTGTCAGTTAGTACATACCTGATAGGTTCAGGTTTCTATCTAGGTAGCCAGAACTGATAGGTTCAGGGTCTGTGCGTTACCTTAAAGTGTTCTGGGGGAACCAATCTGTTGTATGTATATGAATTGGACTAAGCCACGTTACAGTAGTCTATTTACCTGATCTTTTTATTTTTCCTGTTTGTTATTTCAATAAACCTTGTTCCTTTGTTTATTCAAATCCATTCCTGGTCTGTGTGACTCCTTATAGGGAATGGTTGGTGGCAGCTTAAGTGAAGGGTGGTATACTCCAGTAGGTCTGGGGTTGTCACAGCCAGCTAGGCCACCACTATTTGTCCAGGGGCTACTGCACCATCACCAACAGGTTGGCCTTAGACAACTTCCTGGAGATGAATGGTAGCACAGTATTTATTAAAAAAATGTGTATAACCAAAACTTTACTGCTCAGACCTGTGCAGTTCAAGGGAGATGAGTACACTGACTGCATTATGCCAATGAAGAAACAGTAGGATTTTGGCCACTATTTGTGACACTTGTTTTTTGCGTGCTTTATACGCATAGAACTTTTCTATTATCCCTGTCTGGAGAATTTATGAGCTACAAAATGCAGTCAGAAAAGTAATTTAAAGTAATACTATGATCTTGATGCAAGGAGGTAGTAAAACCCTTAGTGCTATCTTGTGTGGTAGATCAACATGACCCTTAATACATCCTACAGAGATATACAGCACTGAAATTTTAGTAAAGTTAAATTGCTTCTATATACTAAAATGTTTTATTTAGATTTTTATGTTGTAATATATCAAGAGAATATGCTATACTTTATTCACTGCACCTTCATTTAGAGAGTCTGTGATCTTTTAATGAGTACATTTGAAATGCAATCAAGGCTGCACCTTTTATTAGACAAACTAATCTAGATAATACTAGAAGCAGTCTTCCATTTCCTTTAAAATTCTTCTTCAGGCTTGTATGTTCTCTTTCTGTGTACTCAGAAGAAAGTACCAAAATGGGATATAATTCAAATAAATGTTTATATAGATTGTATATATAAACCTGATCTTAGCCATGTCTCTAAATTCCACATGTTTGGTTTCTCAGAAACAAATTAGTTTCAGTGGTAGGCTAAGGCTGCTTGTGAAAAAAACAATGTACAGTACAAGGAAATGGCTAAAAGTTGACTCCTGTGTCTGAGATACTCTTGATTATTTCAGTCAGCACTTGAGAGTTTAAAAACCTAAGAATATTTGTTCCAAAGGCCCATCTTCATTTTCTTCTGTCAGTGGCAACCAGATGCCTAGGGGAAGTTGATAAGGAGGGTATGAGAACAATAGCTTCCTCCTATTCAAACAGCTGACATTTAAGAATAAAATAGTAAGCACTAGTCCTGCTCCACTGTTCTCACCCTTCCATTACGGCAATTTATTTCTACTTCTTGCCTTTTGTTCTTCAATCTGTTACTGATTCCAAGGAT